GTGTAGCCAATCCTCCAAGAGCTTACAGTAGCCCCAGTAAGAAGAGCTCTGTAAGCTCTTGGAGGATTGGCTACACTAGGGGGTGTGGCCTAATATGCAAAGGAGCTCCTGCTAACAGTAGAGCCCTTCTTTGTTTTCTGAGAAAATAACAGAAAAAGCAAATTTTCAGTCCTTATGGTTAAGAAGATGTATTTGGAAGTATGTGAGCAGTGCCTTTTGAAATCTCGGGAGCAAGTAAGACCTACGTACCCTGCATAGCTCCTGTCCTGATGATCTGAACCAGACTGTGCAAAATAGCAACATTTCAAAATTATGCAAATAAGGGAAAAGTGCAGCCAATTGGCATAATTTGCACAGATCATAGAATCTGGATTGCCTGGGCATAGCTTATTTTGTTTCTTGAAAAACCAAGTTTGGTTCCAGTGGTCCCCTTAAGACCAACGAAGTTTTATTCCTGGTATAAGCTTCCATGTGCATGCACACTTCATCAGAAATGGAAGTTACTATTCCATACATATAGGCTGAGGGTGGGGGAAGGGTTTGTTGCACACAAAAGCTTATCCCAGGAATAAAACTTGTTGGTCATAAAGGTGCCACTGGACCCAAACTTTGTTTTGCTGCTTCAGACCAACATGGCTACCCATCTGAATTTGTTTCTTGCACATAGCAGGACTTTTTTTGTAGAAAAAGCCCAGCAGGAACTCATTAGCATAATAGGCCACACCCAATAGCAGAAACTCATTAGCATATTAGGCCACACCCCATGTCCTCTTGTGTCTTGCCCGGGCGCCTGGCCAAATCCCTCTTGAAGGGAAGGCAGTTTAAACTGCCTTCCCTTGGCTTGCCCAGGCACCCTGCGGCCCTTGGACAGGCCGGGGAAGGCATGGGGAGGCATTTAAATGCCTCCCCGATCCTTCCAGGGCCCTCCTGGCCCACCCGCCTTGGAGTTGCCGAGGGGGTCACTCTCCAGGCTTTCCCTCTGTAGCCAGGCACGCAGAGGTTTTGGCTGTAGTGGGCGTGGCCAGCTCTGAAGCCAGCCAGAACTCCGTTCCTGTGCGTTCCTGCCCAAAAATAGCCCTGGCACATAGTATACATTGCCCTATTCACAAAACCCAGTTTCTGCAGTCAATCACATGCAAATTGATTTCGCTATAACTAGAGCAAATGGCTCATTCTCTGCTATTTATTCATAGATATTTCTAGGAGACAGAAAGTCCAAGGTGTTTCTCATCAAGTGGCCTTCCGTATTACCTGTATGGGTCCTTACGTGTCTCTTCAGATCGAAAGTGTCATTGAATCCTTTCCCACAGAAGGTGCACAGGTGCCTCTTCACTTGGCTGTGGCACTTTACATGGCGGTTGAGCATGCGCTGCAAGCGAAATCCCTTCCCGCATAACTCACAATTGTGCACGGAGGCATTGCCACAGATGCCAGTGGTGAACTGCGAAATGGAAATAAAACAGGATTTCAGAATTTTGAGATTCCGGAGAGTTTGTTTTGTCTAAAGTCTGCATGCAAGGGTGTAGACAAAACTAACTCCAGAATCTAGTGAAGGTAGAAAGTTACCTTGTATGATGAATTAGGACCAGTTTGATTACCTTTCTTTTTTTTATGTCAAAACTTTTATTTTGGATATAACCACATATTCAACATTACATTACATTTCTTTTCTCACATATCTATATCTCTTATCTCCTCCCCCCATCCCTTTGGTGGCTTCCCGCAATGCTCCTCCCTGCTCTCTATTTTATAGTTCTATTTTCCTTTCCCATTTTCATTTTAAATTCCAAGGTAACAATATCTTATTTTAAACATTTCAAACCTTTATATATTTCTGCCCTTAATAATTATCAAAACAAAGTAGACTATGTTTTACATCCCATTTTTTCCCTAAATATTCTTTAAAGTCTTTCCATTCTTCGAAAAATTCTTGATCCTCTTTGTTGTTAGGTTTCTTTGTTAATTTGTCCATTTCAGCCATGAATATCACTTTCTGTATCCACTCCCATTTTTCAGGTATTCTGTCCTGCTTCCAAGATTGTGCATAAGTCATTCTAGTTTGATTACCTTTCTGAAAGACTGCAATCTATGATGAATGAAGGACACAATTTTGTTTACCTGACTACGTTCAGCAGAAGTATTCACGAAACGGAAATGTACTCTGAGGAATTTCGTCAACATTTCAACATTTTCCTATGACTTCTTAATAAGGACTTCATTGAATAATACTTACCTATTTGGTTGTATTCTTGTATTCTTATATGTCAATATACATGCTTGGTAGCGCTTTTTTGGCGGCTTCTGTGTATTTTGTTTTCAGGTCAGGAATATGACATGGGAGGAAAGGCTGAAGCACTTTTCCCGCAGGCACTGTGGTCCCAATCTGAACCGCCCCTGCATGCACAGGAACTGAGAACCTGCCGCTCACATATTAGTGTTGCACAAGAAGGGGATCCCAGACCTGAGCTGTGTAATTCACAGTGTATAAATTGGCCCTGGTAGAGCAAAACAGAGCTGACCTTTCAAACACCTGCGCAACATTAGCGCAAGAAGCCCGGAGTGAACAGCTACTAAGGAACGACCTGTAACATTCTTCTGATCATCATTCTAAATAACAATCCCTTCATATATAAACTCGCTAATGAAGAGGAAAA